GCGACTGCCTTCGGCTCAGGTCATGATCCTGGAGTCCCTGGATCGAGTCCCGCATCGGGCTCCCTGCTCGGCGGGGAGTCTGCTTCTCCCTCTGACCTTCCCCCCTTTAATGCTCTATCTCATTCTCTCAAATAAATAAATAAAATCGTAAAAAAAATAAATAAATACAAATAATTCTTCTGACTCAGCACACTTACTGAGTTTGGGGAGAAAAGCAAATGTCGTAACACAAAAGGAGTAACTAGTGGAAAGACTGAAGAAATGTCCTTCACTCAAACATACCTCTCCTCTCTCCCACGAAACTGTGGTCCTGCCATTCTGTTAGTCTTTTTGATTGTTGACTGTACATATGACAACAAACCACAAATTACAGTTGTACATTTGCGTAAGATGCAGGATTTCAAGAGGGTGGTAGTGTTAGTCACCTGGGGAAGCCATCTCTACGAGTGAAGTGCTCGCAGGGGGAGACCCGCCCTTGCAACTGAAGAGTAGGCTTATAAGATGATGCTAGACTGGACATTTTTAAAGAGGCTTAATTGTTTTCGTGAAGCACTGTGAAAAGTAAATGTGCAGTCAAAAGTGTTATGTTGTGCTGTTCTACAATTTTGTTAGGAACATTTGGTTAAAAAAATCGACACTTGATTTTATTCTAAGAATGACCTGATAGTTAACACACATTACCAAAATTTACATTTCTGTGAAGTGGAACTGTAATTTTGTTTTGTTTCTAAAGATAGAGTTCCAGTCATTTCTCCCACTACACACACACACACACACACACACACACCCGTTGCTACCTGCACAACAATACTTTGGCCCAGTTTATGTGGATTCAGTTACGTGCTCCTTTTCCACCACCGTGTAGGTAGTGATGCTTGCTTATACTTTTGGAGAGTGCTGATGTGAACATGTAGTTCTACTTTGTTTTCTTCTTTAAAAATTAGCCACACCACTGTGTAGTTGCCCTGTGGTGGTTCTTAACATGGTGGTCTGAATAGATGAGCAGATAGAGAACGTGACAATATATTTATATAATTCTGCTTTGTTTTTACAAAGCAGATAAAACGTAGATAAAGCTGGGGAGCTAGCATTAATGCCAACTGGAAGGATTTTCCTTTTCTGTAGAAACAAGGGCAAAATGCCTAAGGATCTTTACCTCTTTGTGGTATGGATCTGGGCTAAATACGTGATGGCTAATAGTCAGAAAACTTTATCTTCCCTTGTTGTCTTCTCAAATTCTGGTCAGCCTGGAGACTGGATGTTAGATGTCCAGGTTGTGGAATGGAGTCTCAGGGTGCCCCTCAGACCACTTACATGTCTGTCACGGGGCTATACCAGACTCTCTGAATTGGAATTGCTGAGGGAGCCCAAAAATGCATGTTTCTAATAGGGATTTCTGGTGCCCTGGATCTTTAACTAGGGCTGAGAACTACGGCGGTAGGACAGTCTTCTGCCCCCATAAGCAGTAGTATTTATGCACAACAGGAGAATTTTCACGTAAAGTACACGTTTTTGCATTGCCTGACATCCGTACTTCTGTATCCTTCTAATAATATGGACCCTCAAGAGTTTCTTTTTTCCTCCAATTTTTTTCCGGACATTTTAGAACCCGATGTTGTTGTTAAACAACAGGAGGCTTTAGCAGCTGCTCGTTTGAAAATGCAAGAAGAATTAAATGCACAAGTTGAAAAGCATAAGGAAAAACTAAGACAGGTATGAGCTGGTTTTAGTTTGAATACATAGTCTTAAATATATTGCTGCTTTGTGGGTAAAAGAATGTGTGTGTGTGTGTGTGTGTATAAGCACGCTTGCCTGCATGTCCTCCCCACCCCCACCCATTAGGGCAGGTACTGGAACAACTAATGATGGCAGAATCGATTCCACTTAGCTCAGTATCAGTCCGCACGCTTTCCTTGTGCAATATCTTAACTGTTTATGGGGAAAATACTCCTTTAAAAAGGTGTTCTTTTATTTACCTTTTTGCTTTTCAGTGGTTTCTTCGCAGTGTATTCTCACCCAAAACTGTGTGCGCCGTTTGCCATGCCCCTGGGCACACAGAGTACACATTCAGCTTCTTGCTCCATTGTTTGTTTCAAGCCATGTATCTCATGATCTAACTTGGTGGGGCTGTTCTTCAGTGGATTGAAGGAGAGCCAGGGGGAGGGCAGCAGTGGGCTCAACCCAAGGGTGAGATGGGGAGCAGGAGATTTTGAAAGATTTTTTAAGGGCACATGGTTTGGTTGGGGAGCGGTAGGAGGGGTGGGGGGAAGAAGAACCAAGGACAGCTGTTGGAAATGACCTGAGCATCTGGTGGGTTGTGCTGCTCTTCACAGGAGCAAGACCACCCACCAGATTTGACCCAGTCTGTGTAACTGAAACAACCAAGTTGTAGTCTCTGCTCTCTTAAGAAGTTTCAATCCAGATGTTTCTGGGCCCTTCTTCATCCTCTCAGAAGAAAGCCTCTGCATGCTCTAAGGCAGCAGAGAAATTGGTCTTCCTGTTGGTTTTGCCTGTGTCTCTGGTGTTTCCAAGGTCCTGTGCCTTTCTGCCATCACTAGAGGCTGTTGTGGTTTCTGCATGGTCATCCAGTACGTGGCTGGTCTCCCCAGCTTGGCCGGAGCCCAGGAGGAAAGGACAGAATAAGACCACACCTACTCTACACATTCATCCTCCTTGGTCACCCTGTCTCGGCAGCCTTCTTCACTGTTCAGTTGCATTTTTTCAGTCTAAACGCAATCGCTAACCTAGAATGCCACATTGCTGTTACTTACTTAATTTTTTAAATCCTACGAAGTAAAAAAAAAAATTATTATAAAAATCTGTACCATGAAAATTAAGTCTCTGATCTCCTTGTTCCTCCACCTCCTGCTGCCCAAGCATTCCATCTTAGATTTTTAGGTATTTTTCTAGAAATATTTATCTGTATATAAACACACATAGAAATTTTTCATTGGGGGCGGCTGGGTGGCTCAGTCGGTTAAGCGTCTGCCTGCAGCTCAGGTCCTGATCCCGGGGTCCTGGGATCGAGCCCCACATTGG